CCGGTCACATACTCAGCATAATCCTGTAAGCTGACAGAAAAGTCCTCTGAGGTGGCTGCAGCTTTAAACACATCCCAGTCTGTCTGGGCGAAACAGTCCTGCAGGGTGCCTTCAGTCTCTGGGGTCCAGAGTTTAATTTGTTTGGTGACAGGGTTTGTTTGTTTCAGTCTTTGTCTGTAACGGATGTTTGGAGAGAGTTGTTTGACTGTTCTAACTTTTCAGTGTAGTTGTGGGCAAATTCAAAGCTTGACCGGAGTTTTTATTTCCTCATGAAGTGTGACCAGTAAATCGAGTTTTTTCTTGATGGATCCAAGTATACTGACCTCAGTGTCTGTCATCTGTAGATCGCTTGTATCTGTAGAAGACGACCTTTTTCCACTTGTTTGGCTTTGGGGTGTCTTACTGGGTTGTACTGGCTGTATCCATTCTGCATTGAATGTAGTATTGGTTGATGAATGATTCTAGGTCCGATAAATCTTCCAGTCCATTCCAGTTATTGGCAGCAGCTTGTGATTCCGATGGATTGCTTGTGTAATACTGGTAGTGGATTATAAAGTCTGAAAAATAGCTAGCGAATTGTTTGATTGATCTCAGTGACTGTGTGTTGCCATGTTGAATATCCCCGCGCTGTCTCATGACCTCATGATACTCAGTACGTCATCCTCTTGTATCTGCTCAATCTTGATGTATTTGAAACAATGGGGTCTGACCAGCTCCTGGAAAATATGCCTTACTATGGTAAGTGGCAAAATTAATACTATAACGGTAGGGGAAACACTGGATAGACAGCTAAGCTAATCAAACTAGAAGGTTGTTGGAAAAACCCTTCTAGGCTAGGCGGCAGGCGGGGCTAATTTACAGACCGTACTTTGACAACACAGGGTGGAGAAGCTGGAATAACAACAGGAGGCTGTAGCTAGCAGAAAACATCAACACAAAAACTTTTCATGTAGGCTACAGACTGAAGTATCAGGAACTCGCAGTCGAAAAATTGTGTATTTGTTGCTAGACTTTTTTTTTTTTTTTTTTGACTTTTTTTTTTTTTGCAAAGGAGCCACTAAAAGGTTAAGTCACCAAGTCTAGTGAAGATATCACTGGCAAATACCATAATCGGACCTATACCGTGATACTCTAGTATGACAATGCACTGTACAATCGTGTTATAATTGTGTGTAACTTAGTGACAGTCAAAACTATTTCAAATGTCAGTGTTTTATTCATTTATTCAGTAGGAAAATGATTTTTCTTTCAACAAGCCTCTGTTTCTTTTAGGCTCTAATGTGATGATTTCTTCTTTATTAACACGGGCTTGTTAATTAAAAAACAAACAGTCAAACATCCTCTGATTTATAGAAAACCCACAGCATTAGATGTTTAGATCTCAGTAAATCTACTAACTGTAAACGTGACCACTGAACTCCTACCATTTGCATTTGTAACTTTAAATACATTTCACTAAAACCCCAAAAACCAACATACTGTCTGTTCTTCATATGAAGTATTTTGTTTTTGAATATGTTGTCTTCATCACACCATCCTCCTCCTTGCTGTTTGTACCCATCTGTCTTTAGAGAAAAAACATTTTCTTTTCACAAACTTTACAGTTTGCAAAAAGCGGCTCATGTGATCCAGTGTCTGTTTAAAAAAACGTTTCTATAAATATATCACTATTAACTGTAACAACAAAAACATCTGGGTTCAACTCACTCTCCTTTCAAACAGATGCAACTGAATTCATTCATTCTGTCAGCAAATAAAAGCTGCAGGTTCTTGCTAGTTACATGTTCTTAGATGACTGGAGTGAGTTGCTGCCTGGTTCACCAACACACACATAGCACAGCTTTTTTGGGACACCGAACAGAGAATCATAGTTTGTTGTCCTGTAGTCAGGAAGCTCGTGATCCTGCCATCTCCACATCTTCCAGTTTAGTCATACGGCTTTCGTTTGGAGTTTAACTTAAATATTGGACTGTAGTGTGGAGTATTTGGGTTAGTCATGGCGCTGACAACTGGTAATTACTTACAGAAGCAAACTTTGTGAATATCAAAAGTGTTTGTTGATGTTCAGGCAGAACTTTCACTGACTTCTGAGGATTGATAGCTTCGATAAAAGACATATTAGCTGGACTCTGTAGAGGGAAGAGTCCAAACTAACTTGGTCCAGAATTGTCTAGTCTGAGCTGAGGTCAAGTTCAGTTAATCTGAACAAAACTTCGGCCAGGAAATATCAGATGCAGATTTTAGCTTAGTAAACTCAACGCTAAGCCAATCAGTTCCACTTTAAACAGGCATGGCTGAGGATGAGAGCTGATATTCTTTCTACAGTATTAAATACTTGTCCTTTTCAGCACACTTCTCATGGTTTTAGAAGCAAATGTCTATTGTACACACTTCACAGCAAAATATTTAACTTAAACTCAACTTAGCTGTGACATTAACAGCGTCTTCTTTTTATATAGTACGCTGTCCATCAGTCCAGCATTAGGACAGTAGAACAACCAACCATCTCTTGTGGCTTTAGCAACAGGTTTGCTGTATTTTAGTGTTTTTTCTTTGAACTGTCCCGCTGCATGGTGCACAGATGTGATCGTTCAGTGAGCAGTCCATCCATGTGCGTCGCATGTCTAGTAATCAGCAATCTCGCTCTATGTTTTGCAGATCTGGTGGTTTCCTCCTGCGGCACTGGGAGGTAGCGCGGGGGTTCCTCCTGCCTGGGCGTCAGCGAATCCCATCCTCTGCCTCCTCTTCCTCTGCTCTGTCATCTGCAGGAACACAGGAAGCACTGAGGTCACATCCCATGTGCCAGAGGTAAAACAAAAGCAGCATCATGCCGCGGCTAGAGCTAAACCCAGACTGTATTGTTTTCAACCGTTCATCTCAGAACATGCTTGTATTGTATTATGAATATCATTTTTACAGTTGATATTTCTGGCAGCACCAGTCCACAGGTTAGGTCTTGTTGCGACTCAGTACAGCATCCCCACAACACTGAAGCTGCACTGCTAAGATAAAGATCATGCCCCCTGAAAGTGACTTTTTAACCCTGTGAAGGTTTATCTTTCTTTCATGTCAGAGATAACTATGGAAAATAATTACATCATTGTATTTCATCAAAATGAGAGCTGGGAAGAGGGAATAATGATGTTAGTACAACTGTCATATGTGATATGAACGTTAAATGTTAATGATAACATTTAGAAATCGACATTAAGTTTGTGTTTAGCTGGTTCCACTTTAGTTACTACGCAATATATATCACAGGAAATGTTCTGCATACATAGTACTGCTGTTTCAATATCTGGATGAGTTTTACTCAACAGTGCTTTTATTCCACATTAAGATATGTATTTAAAGTCCAGTCACTGGGGGACGAGGGAGAGTTTAATAGCTGGTGGACAACAGTGGAGGTCTATGGCACAGAGCAATAAGCTGGACCAGGGTCTGGACTGACACACATCACAGCGAGGACATTATGTTCACTGGTGCTGCTGGTCTCTGGACGGGGTTGGTGGGGAATAACATCAGCATATAAAATCACACAGCTGACTGTGGACTGAGCTCAAGATGTTTACACCAGAGAACATGTCCAGGCTGAAGAAGAATGGCCCAGAAATCCTCCTGGGGTTTGCCCAGTTACTAAATTCATGGCTTTACCACCAGCACTGTGAAGGTTTAACAGCTGTGACAAGAAAACTTGTAGCAGTTTTTTTTTTGTATTACTACCTTAAACACATTGTAATCGTGTGTAAAAAAGACTTGAGGACAACCACCTCTTTCCACAGGCTTCACTGACTCCCTCTTGCTGCATCTCACTGCTGATGTTTTAAAAGATAACACTGCTTGTACTTCTTCTAAAAGTGAGTATGGTCATTCTATAACTAGTGCTAATTTTGGTTTGGTGCAACAAGAGCTCATGTTAAATGGCTTCACTGGGGCAACTGGTTTAGCCTCAGAGAGCTTGGAATACACATGAGTTTGCACACTGATTTGAATGTGTGTTCTGATGTACTTGGCTGTAACTGATATCTGCCTTTCTGCTGTCTCAGAGATGAGCATGAGCCACCCTACCCACTTTCAACCTAACTTTAATGTGTGTGTGTGTGTGTGTGTGTGTACCTGTTCTTTCAGTTCGTTCAGCTGCATGGTCAGAGTTGTCACCACCTTCATGGTCACTGCCAGTTTGTCCTGCAGCATCCTCATCTCATTCTGCTCCCCATCACCATCAGTTACCACCAGAGACATCGCCTGCATCCGTGGAAACCAGTCCAGGTTGTTGTTCTGAGAGAAGATGTTGCCGTGTTTAGTTGTGTTTTTCATATCCGCAGTATTTCACTAAGTTATATTTGGCTACATCCACATTCCAGCCAGAGCCTCAGACCCGGTGTGTCCACAGCAGTGTGAACAGACCAGGTGTCCTCAGACCAGATGTGGGCCACCTGCGTATGTGCTCCTAGACCCGATTCCTCTCCGACCTCTGACTGTACAAGCGCCGTCAGAAAGGTCAGATCAGAATCTATGTTGTCATTTTAATGTCTCCTCTCTGCACATACAGCCTGTTGTCTTGACTGAAATGTGAGCCACGTGTGCACAAGAATAATCACCAGGTGGTGTGAGCACACGTGGCTCACATTTCAGTCAAAGGTGCAGTGTGTGAAATTTAGTGATCTGGTTGTGAGGTTGCAGATTGCAGTGTTCATCAAAGCCCTCATACATCGTGTTAAACAGCCCTCACAGCGACAGACTGCGCACTCAGAAAACAGGTGCGGCTGATTTGAGCAAGCAAAAGCTAGTGGCGGCTCACTTGGCCACAGTGGGTTACCCAGCACTGGCCCTGTTCTAGCTAAATATATCAAAAACTTTCATTTAGGTGGGGGTGGCACAGTGGTTAGCGCCGTTGCCTCACAGCGTGAAGGTTCCGGGTTCGGGCCCCACCTGGGACCTTTCTGTGTGGAGTTTGCATGTTCTCCCCGTGCTTGCGTGGGTTCTCTCCGGGTACTCCGGCTTCCTCCCACAGTCCAAAGACATGCAGCTTAGGTTGATTGGTGTCTCTAAATTGCCCATAGGAGTGCATGTGCGTGTGGGATTAAGCAGTAGAAAATGAATGAATGAATGAATGAACTTTCATTTAGGTTAAAGGGGGGCGACAGTGGTGTGGTGGGTAGAGCAGCCGCCTCCCAGCCGGAAGGTTGGAGGTTCAAATCTCGGTGCCTGCAGTCCACGTGTCAATGTGTCCCTGGGCAAGCTTCCCATGATGGCGACGCGTATGCACGCAGCAGCCCAGGGCCCTCGGCTCCAAACAATTGTACATGTCACAATGACAATAAAATAAATCTTTTCTTCTTAACTGAATCCACAGTGAAAGCAAGATGTGATCAGTGCCTTCTGTACCTTTGTCTTCAGGACAGCGGCAGGAGAAAGAGCCTTCGCCAGGCGCAAAAACACAATTTCTTCCTGAAGAGCCAACATGAAAACTAATTTTGTCCAGTAGATTTGTGTTGTCTGTCCGCCCGGTGAAGACTGTTTCTCCTGCCGCTTCCCTGATGACTGACTCTCATTCGAATGACAGAGGCACAGAAGGTGCTGCTCACGTCTCACTTCAACATGAAAATGCAACAGTCACGCTCGAGAGCCAGAGTGCCGTTTGTTCCTTCTGGGCTACTGTAAATAACAGGGTGACCTCCATGATAGCAGACCCACTCCTATGTAGATATAAAAGGCTCATTCTTAGCTAAAGAAAACCAGAAATTCTTATTTTCTGGTGATTACACATTAATGAAAACCTAATAACGCATACTATAGTGCATTTCTACTAATAAATCCTTCTAGATCTTACACAGTGCACCTTTAAATCCACGTGTGGCAGTTAAGGAGCTCAGCCGTGTTCACACTGGAGCCAGATGCATGTCACTGACACACACGGACGTGAAGCAGCGACACAAAAAGATCAGAGCTGAGCATTCAGGCCTGAGGTATGGGCATGATGTCGTACCTTGATCATGTGTGCAACGTAGCTCTCAGGGCCGGTGTAGTCCGTCTTGTTCTTCTCGCGCACCAGAACGATGAAGTACAGGTAGTTCCAGATGTTGTGCTCCATCTTGATGTGCTCTTCAAACGATACCGTCTTGTTGTCAAACTTGTCTCTCTCCAGACCTGCAGCAACACACAGCTGGCAGTCAGCTCCACAACAGAGACGTTCTAACTCAGTGTTTCCTAACATTGTGGCTGTTCCCACTCATAGCAGGTGTTTCCTGTTCATCACTTCAGCTTGTTCTAACGTCCCGATTACAGTCATCATTACCAGACATGTTTAAAACAGTCTAGTCATACTTTTGAGGCCGAGCGCTGGGCTTGGTACCCACCACAGATAAAACACGTGGTCTTCAGGATCTCCTCTTTCTTCTGTTTCTCACTCCTCAGGTCAGCAAACGTGTCGATGATGACGCCGAAGATCAAGTTGAGGACGATGATGATGACGATGAAGAAGAACAACAGGTCGTATACCACACGGGCGGGAAACAGCGGCTCCTGCACACAGATAGCTGTGCAGTGAGATTGTCTGTGCCAATATGGAAGCAGTAACACCACAATATAATACTTTGTCCTACAGTTAAAATGTTACTCCAGTAAGAAGTACCTATGACTCAGAATGCCCCCCGTTTAAAAGATATACTGCAGTGTAAGCATACTTTATACTACAAAATTTACTGCTACTGGGTGGTTGATTTGTCAGCTGATCATATGTTGTGCACCACTTCCTTTGTAAAGACATTACTAAGTCGCTGACCAACACTTTGTCCTTTGATGGAAATCAGTTTTTAAAAAACTTGTCTGAATCATGTGTGAGCACATTTACACATTCCCTGTACGTCAGCTTCACCTGTGTTAATCATATTAAAGTGTGAACAAACAGCGTTCTAACGGCTCCTGTCTCTTCTGATAACATTTACAAACCTCAGCTCAAGTCAAATTGTACGTGTGCAAACGTGAGAAACGACCTGCGTGAACCTCGACTGTTAGTGGAGCTGAGCGTACAGGTCACTCAGGAGACAGCTGTTCAGGTTGGAGCTGCAGGCTGTGACTCGGCCCTCAGCTCTAGTCATTCATATTCGTAGCAGCTTTCCTAAACTAAACATAAATGGATTTACTAGGAGGTGTTTGAGGCAAATTTAATACTGGATTCAGGTGGGATAAGTAGCTGTGCCTCTCAAAATAAACAAGTTTAGAGCCTTGCATCATGGCCGCTGCTCTGGCTGCTGCTTCACGTTTGAGTAAGAAAAACATTTTCACATTCTGAGCCTCACCTGTTTGAACTCTGTTAAGTTAAACTGTTGACAGACTTATTACAAAGTGCAATGTGTAACTGATAAATACAAACTATGTTGGACCTTTTATTTCATTACAGTGTAGCGGAGCAGACGTATGTCGTCAGAATGGAAATACCTCCAGATTTTACTTAAGTACAGAAGTTGAGTACAAGTATGTGGTGTCATTTGCTGGGTAAATCTCCATCTGACCAGGTAAAGAATGTTCCTTACGTTCTTGGATGGTTTGCGGAGAACGTCTCCGACTCCTCCTCCGTTCCTCAGTCCGTGGTTCAGTACCGTGACGATACACATCAGCAGGGTGTCACAGGCCCGCTCTGAGCTGGGCTCCTCTGAAACACACACACCGTCATCAGTGCTGCTGTGGCGCTAACATCACACCAGCATTGCATGACTTGTACAAAAGGGCAGTGAACTCACCATCTTCAGTCACAGCGTCGCCATCGGCGGCGCAGTTCATGCCTTCCGCAGAGCACGACCTGAGGAAATCCTGAGAGGCTTCACTCTGAGGAGCTGAACAACAAAACAGTGACAGAAACTCACCAGCACGCCTCTGTTTGTAACATGTACCTGCAGTTGAAAAAAAAAAACTTCAGTTCTGAGAACTGATGAAGCCTCTGGGATGAGAGGTGAAACGTCTTCGACCTAGAAATCTAGTCCAGTTTTTTTTCAGCTTACTATGACCTGGGTGACTGAGAATCTGGACAGACATGTACCTGCAGTTCTTCCTTAACACTGGTTTCCTCTGTGTCTGTCTATGTTTCACCTCCTGGTCCTGGAGCGGGACCCTCATCTTCCATTCGTTTTATCTTTTTAAGAATATTTTCAGTAGACTACATTTCATCCTGTCAAAGTGTTTTGTGGATTAGCCTCAAATTGGTCTCTTGTGTCTCCGTATCAGCATGTGAGTCGTCTGTAAAGTTGAGCCTGAGTTGCATGAAACTGGTCGAAGGGTGCCACAAAGAAAATTAGATTGACCGGTTTTTGGGGGGTGTTTAATGAGAGATGTGAAGTCACCTGCAGCGATCGGCAGCAGCGGGGCAACCTCCACTCTGAAGAGGCAGAGGAAGCCGACGATGGAGAAGAGGTAGACGAGGATGAGAGCGAGCAGCGCTGTCAGCAGGATGGAGCGGCCGTTCCGAGTCACGCTCTTGATCACATTAAACAGAGTCTCCTCCCGGTAGATCAGGTCAAACAGCTGCGTGCGCACACACACAGGGGGAAGGTAAACCACGACTAGTTGCTTTCTGAGCAATGACGTGAGGATTCGTGTCTGTTGTTTACCAGAATGCTGTAGAAGAGCTCGTGCACAAACAGCCCCAGGGTGGAGGTCAGGACATAGGCCAGGTGGTAGAGGAACTCCACGTCCATCACCATGGCCTTGTATCCCATAATAAAAGTCCCGTTGTTCCCCACAAAACTCACCACAAATACCACCTTATTGAGGAGCTGCAGGGGAACAGAAGGAAAAACCAGTAATGAGATGATTTGAAGTCAAGACATTTGACTATTTTGATCCAGTTTTATTAGTATTAGAAATTCATCTGTCATTTAACCAGTGAGCAGCTGTTCTCTTAAAACACTTGCTGCACAGTATGCACCCTGCTGCACTGGGTGACATGTTTCATTGCTTTGTTTACACTCCGCTAGCTCCTCACACCTTCACAGAGATTTCACACTTGTACAGCTGAGTCTTGCTTTACCTCAAGATGTTGTAAGTTATGGCTGTTTGAAACTTTTGGGGCAACACTGTTATCAAATATACTGTGTTTTGTAATAAAGAAACATGCTCCCCCGTGCAGACCTGGGGCCTATTTCAAGAAGGCGGTTTTGTCGAAACTCAGAGTTTGTTAACCCCGAAATGAGGGAAACTCAGAGTTTTCGGTTTCAGAAACGGAGGTAACTTAAACCCGTGAAGCGGGGTAAGTTAAACCCGTTTCACAAAGAGAGGTAATCTAAACTCAGAGTCAGTTACTATGGCAACTTACTCTGTGAACCTAACCTGCTGGCGAGCAGGTTTTGTTCGGGAAACTCAGAGTTTCCTCCGGGTCTCCGCCCCTTTTTAAAGTGAAAGGTGTTTAATACCTCATTTAATCTTTCAGTACATTCATAGATTGCACACGTTTCCGTCACGCAGAGACCAAAATGGCGTGTCCATTCATAGAGGATCCTGTAGAGGAGGACGCTGTATTAATTCGCAGGGAATTGCATTTACGTCGGGAGAGGATATTGAGGCCACAAGTTGATTTTTTGTCATATCCCCATGTATTTTTATTTGAGCGGTACCGTTTTTCTAGAGAGTCCATAACATATATCAATAATCTTATCCACCCAAACATCAGACACATCCCCCATCGTGGCCGTGCTCTTACATCCGAGCAGATGCTTTGTGTTGCATTACGATTTGTTGCAAATGGCAGTTTTCTTTATAACATCGGGGATGCAGAGCAAGTAAGGCCACAGTATGTAGAATAGTTCGGAAAGTGTGCCTCACCCTCAAGCGCTTTCTGTGAATTTTTGTTGTTTCCTGGGCACAAACCCCTCAGAGCCATTAAAGAGGAGTTTCACAGGATTGCAGGTTAGTGGTATTGAATTCGTTTCAGTAAGGCTAATCTGAAAAATGATGATCAGTTAATAACATCTTGCTGTGACCTCTGGAAATAAACTAATAATTAGAATCCCCTTCAGGATTTCCTAATGCGGTTGGATGCATTGATGGCACACATATTCCCATCAATACACCTACATGAAAATTAAAATTCAATTCTTATATTATTACATCAGTGTTGGGTAAATCTTAAAAAAGTATTTTGATTAATGTAATAATTACTCTCCATAAAACATACTGGATTATTTATTAATCATTACTTTACAAATCCCATATCAACCACAATAGGAATTTTAAGAAAGGGTAGACATAAAACTGCACTTTTAATTCGTACAAAAATCGGTATTTTATGCAATTACTGAAGTTACTCATTCAATTATTGAAGAATTAAGAACCATTCCTTACTTTACAAGTGACAAATAATAACATTACTAACATTATTTAGTAATTACTTACACCGAACACTGTATGATTAAAATGTAAACGTACCCATTGACTCGGGCAGCTATTTTCCCCCAAGCTAACTCTTTCTCTTTCGCCGCTGCAGCCGTGTTGTTTTTTTGTTTTTACGAAATATGGGCTCGTAGTCACTATATGCTTGTAGTAGCACATCCATTTCTGTCGGGGAAAAACGCAGACCTATTTTGGCTTGGTCCTGTTGCCATGGTGACTCGTAATTTCTTCACTCCATTGTTCAGGGCTTTTTATAGTCGCGTGGCACGCGCCTAACTCTGAGTCAAACAACTCAGAGTTGATTAAACCAACTCTTTTCAGCTGTTCTGAAACCGAAAACTCCGAGTTTTCCAACTCTGGGTAAGTCAACTCAGAGTTCAGGTTTGAACTCTGAGTTTGTTAAACCGCCTTCTTGAAATAGGCCCCTGAAATGTGTTCTTGTTAATGTTGATTATTTGTTTTTAAGTTTAAATGGTTTAATAATCTTGAAAATATATTAATACAACATGAGACTCAGTTTGCACAGAAACAGCTGTAGAAATGTCTTTCAGTACTTTTTACTTTGAGTACATTCCAGAGCCTGTACTTTTTACTCTTACTCCGAGTTTGAATCAGTACTTCTACTTTTACCAGTCTTTTATTTTTACATAGCTGTCTATACTTCTACTTGAGTAACGAATGTGTGTACTTCTGCCTTCTAAGGTTAATACCCAGGTGATGGATGGGTAATGTAGTGTCTCTTACATTTAGCGATCCCAGCAGGATGAGGGTGTTGCCAATGCCCAGGTGGTAGATGGACCTGAGGATCAGCGCCAGAGTGAGCGGCTGGAGGCCGTAACGCTTAGAGAACAGGCCGAGCACCGACAGACCTGTCAGGATCCAGAACAGCATCAGCAGCATGGAGCTGTCAATCGCACCTGTGTAGGGACAGAGGGACAGTGTGAATCTGAACACAGTAGTAGACTGTAACATCGACTGGTCACGCTCCTGCTCCTCAGGGTGAAGCTGGTGCCACTGTCAGGTCACACGTCCACGTCTGAGGCTCCCAATTTTAACAAGGAATTATTTAACATGTAGGAAACCAACTTAAAATCAGCTCTATAAGGTAAAACAGTTGAGCAGATGAAACACTGTGGATAAACAGGAACAGATGTAGAAACTAGAGTTTAAAATGCACATTATCAGAATGAAAATGACACTTAAATGATTTTCTCTGGCCTCCTGAGTGTGACTCTGCCATGGTCCTCCCTGGCTCAGAATTTCATTTTTCACTGTGAATCCTGACCTTGAAATGGATCTGCAAACTTTTTCTAATAATAATTAATGTTTCCAAAGTGGCAGGATTCATGTTCAACCATGGAAACTACAATGAAGACATATGATTTTCATTAGAAACGAGCCTGAGTCAGGGCTCACACTGATCACGTGTTAACAGGACGGCTGCACGCTTTATAACCTGATTAATTCATTAATCGCAGCAAGGAAACAGGAAACGGGGCGAGGGAAACCTGAGTCGGAGCTGTTGGCAGCGAGACTTGAACCGCCGACAGTGCGAACCCCAACAGGGTAGACGGCGTGCCGCACCTCACTGCAGCCACATGGCTGTAATCTAATCTAAAACATTTTAAGGCCTAAACAGAAACAATTCCTACCATCTCCACAGATTTGTTTCTCCATAAAAATGATAACACTAACTAGATACATTATTCAGACGTCTGTTAGTAAAAATACGACTTTTAAAGACCTTAACGATTTAAAATCAAAGACTTTTTATGGATCTGTGGGAGCCCTGTTTGAAATACTACTGTAGTAGTATGTGCAGAGGTACCTTGTCCTGAGTCATAGGGGTAGAAGAAGGCGATGATGAGGTTGATGAAGACGGCGAGGTTAAAGGAGATGCTTCCCCATAGAGTCATCCTCCTGGAGAACCAGTACAACACCGGCATACCTGCAACACAGGCGCACACACACTTTGGCACCAAAAAGGCATCGATATGGCTTTTCAGACCATACGCAGCTTCTGTCAGTTAATCTCATATACATTGCTCGTCCTCACCTGTGACCACCTGTGGCGGATCATGTTTGTATTTAGCACATTCCCAAAATACAAATTTATGTGTGGAAGCAAAGCGTTTGTCATACTAAAACTTTAAAGATTTGTTTCCTCCAGTTTGTACATTGTTTTAATCATCACACTCGGATCATGGCAGAAACAGCAGCTGGACCAAAGTCTGTCAACCACATCTCACTGCCTTCATCAGCAGATGGCATAGGGCGCCCAGAGATGACTCAGTTACAATCTGACCTACCTCTGTGTATCAGTCTCATACATAGTGTCACATGATAATACACTGCTGGTGAAAGCTGAGAGATGTGGTCGAGAGCTCCAGGTGAAAAAATGAGGCCAGGTTGTTTTGTTCCAGTGGAACCTGTTTGGTTCTTCATCCTTCGAATGACTTGTCGCTTATTGTCTGTTCACAATGTCAAAGTTAAACGCAAGTCAAAGAAAGAGGTGTGATGCATCATTTGTCCTCAGCTGGGACAATCAGCAGATACGCTGGTTATCAAAACGTAAACTCTTCGTTCTTGGTATCGGAAATAATGCATCAGTCTGTCTGTGTGTGTGTGTTCTCACTCCTGAGCTTCTTCTGCCACTCCATCTCTCCGTGCAGGAAGGAGGTCTGTTCAAAGAAGTGTGTGACCTTTGACCCCTGCTCGTCCTGCTCGGTGGTGTTGAACACTCTGAACTTTGACTCCTCTGTCAGAAACTTGCAGATGGTATGAACAGGGAACACAATCTGCTCCATGCTGCGGTCCTCGCGCACAATCTGGACACAGAGAAACAACATGTGTCAGTGTTCGGACACCTGGGCTGAACCAGGAGAACAGACGGAGATGGCGGGAAGAACCGCAGCAACACACGACCAGTCAGAAGCTTTGGAAACCCCATTTTCCCAGTTTGGATTTTGACATGTGAGCAGCCATGTCCAGTGAATAACCTTAAATGGTACAAAACCAAGATGCAAACTGGTAGGGGTGAAAAAAAAAAGTGTGGGGTTTGAGTTACAACTTCATATACAATATAGTTCTAGACCAACTTCTACTTTTTACGCCTTTATAATTCACCCCGATTCTACAAACAGTTTTTTTTCTCTTTCAATCTTCTCAACAGAGGTGGGAAGTAACAAAGTACAAATAGACACAGTCTCTATGGGGTACTGGGAGTTTTGGGTTGGTAGCAGCTGACTCTGACTCTGGGTTGTCATAATTTAGGTTGTAAAATAAACTCCAGAGAAAAGTCCGACATTGTTTTAGCAAAGTTACACACCGACTCAACATTAATTTTAGCCGCTCTAGCGGTAAAGAATTCCAGAGTCTGGGGCCATACACAGCAAAAGGGCGGTCGCCATTTTTTATATCGAGACCGTGGGACAACCAAGGACAGATGCTCTGAGGAGCGCACAGCTCTGCGCGGAGCATAGATAGATAGTAGATCCGACTGGTATGGTGGAGCGAGGCCATATATAGCCTTAAAGACAAATAGCAACATCTTAAACTCAACTCTCCACTGTACTGGCAACCAGTGTAGTGAGAAAAGAACAGGGGCAATGTGGGCATACCTGGGAGTGTTCGACCAGCCGAGCCACAGCGTTTTGGACCAGTTGAAGCTTCCAAAACAAAGACTGAGAAATACCAACATAGAGGGCATTACAGTAGTCTAGTCGTGAAGTGATAAAAGCGTGGATGGCTTTTTCTGCACGCAGTAAGAAAGGCTTCACCTTCCTTAAAAGTCTCAGGTGGAAAAAGCTGGCTTTAACCACGGCCGTGATCTGCTTATCAAAATTAAAGCCGCTATCAAATATCACTCCAAGGTTTTATCTGTGACTTAGGGGGCTGAAGCACCTAAACTAGTTTCAACCACGGCTGGATCGGGGCTAATAATATATTCAGTCTTGCTCTCGTTTAAATGAAGAAAATTCTGGGCGAGCCATTGCTCAATATCACAAATGCAATTATGTGGCGGAGCAGTAGCAGTATTAGTATCAGTACCTCTATCTGAGAGGTCAGCTGGTCGTAGTACTCCAGAGGATCCTGTTCCACCACAGCTGCTGGTGCCGTGGACTTTAACATCTGGGACAGAGGGCGGTTGTTCAGGTTCAGCTGCAGAAACACAAACATCAGCATTAGACTACTGCAGTACTGCCCCATCACTTACTGCAGTACTGTCACTGTGAACATCAGGTGGGTGCTTACCATGGAGGAGATCCCCTCCTCTCCCTCAATACTTTTCTTAGGAGTTTTCAGGAGGTGCTGCAGGGCTCTGTTGTGTCGGGCCAACTGAAACCACACAAGGACAAAAACTTCACCCTTTTACAGGAAGTACTCTGACCCTTTATGGAAGTAAATGCAGCAGTACAACAGTGTGAAAATATTCCAGTACATGTAAAAGTCCTGCATTCAGAACCTTAAGTTGCATTTTGCATTGCCATAGTTTAAGGTTAGTGAAAGTGAATGAATATGCTGCTGCTAGCCAGGCTAGCTCCTGTACAGCAGGTCCACACGCCGTTTCCTGCCCCCTCCTGCTTCAACTCAACTCAACTTTATTTATATAGCGCTTTACCACAGCACAGCTGACCAAAGTGCTTAACATATCATACAAATCTAAAATCAACACATAAAAAACTATAAACAATAAAATAAACACTAACACTACAGACAGAGTCTCATTCCTGGCCAAACGCCAATGAATACAAGTAGGTCTTCAAATAAGACTTAAAAGTAGACAACGAGGGGGCCTGCCTAATATAAAGCGGCAAAGCATTCCATAGGCTTGGACCCACCACAGCGAAGGCTCTATCCCCCCTAGTTTTCCGCCTGGCCCTCGGTGCCTCCAGAAGAAGCTGATCAGAGGCACCGTGATGGATTATACGGATGCAAAAGTTCCACAAGATAAGAAGGTGCCAGCCCATTTAAAGATTTATAAACAAACAAAAGAATCTTAAAACGAACCCTAAAACGCACCTGAAGCCAGTGGAGAGATGCCAGGACTGGCGTTATGTGGTCCCTCTTATGCCCCCCCAACCAATAGCCGAGCGGCAGGATTCTGGACTCTCTGGAGGCGGGCAAGACCCGATTGACTAACTCCAGCATACAGTGCATTACAGTAATCCATACGAGATGTAACAAACGCATGGATCACTGTCTCCAGATGCTGCCGCGACAAAAAGGGTTTTACTTTTACTAATTGCCTTAAATAGAAAAAAAACAGATTTTACAACCGCATTTATCTGGCTCTCCATTTTCAGATCGGAGTCTATTTTAACACCCAAATCAGTGACCACCGGTCGCACATACTGCCCCAAGAAGCCTAAGTCTACAGGAAGAGGGTCGCCAGACGTATTCTGGCCAAACACTATAACCTCGGTTTTAGCATCATTTAACTTTAAACAGTTTAACGACATCCAGCCCTTAATATCGGCAAGACCTGCTAAAAGACTTGCATGGCTTAATCTTTGAGACAAGCATATGCTACTGGCAGGATCAACCAGGTAGGCTTCAGGCCAAACCACATGTGGACTTTGCTCGGACTGCCCCCTGAGAGGCGAGTATGACCTCCTGTCAGCTGAGCACAGAGCAACGCAGCGGCCCACAAGGAGCTTGTGTTTAGTCACCTGCTGAGCCAGGATGTAAATGTTGTGTCCCACCTCCCGGGGGGAAACCTCCAGCCCCTTGCACTCGCTCTCCTGATGGTAGGCCTTCTTTATCACCTCCATCTGCATAGACACAGTTAACACCCATCTGTAACATGTGCTGCACAAACAGCTCTGAAATCAACATGTAACAAGAAGCAAAGAGAAGAAGAAGAGGAGGATGGAGCAGGAGGGCGGAGCCTCTGACCAGCTCTCGTGGTCGCAGGCTGAACAGGATCCTCTCTGCGTTCTCGCTGTCGTGCCGACTCTCCATCAGGGCCAACAGCAGCTTGGAGGCGTTGTCCTGGCAACCAGAGAGACAACAGCTGCAGTCAAATGTCTAGACTGAAACTGACAAAAGTATGTGGACACCTGAACATTCGTCCATGTCTGATGGCTGGTTTCCTGAGAACACCCAGATGCTTTCACTTTGTCATTACAGTTTTATCCATATAAAATGAAGGGATCTGAATACTCTCTGAAGTGACCGTACACACACACACACACACACACACACGACTCACGTTACTGACTAATAACTACAGTAACACGACCAGCTGGTCCCAGAGCTGTGTGCACAGCGACATGTAAACGTACCTTCAGCTGCAGCACCATCTCCATCCGGTAACGACACAATGGACTGATGTCATTCAGGATCAGAGCTGTGATGATGTCGATGCCATTGGACTCATGTGTCACGATACATGTCTGGACACACACACAGAGACCATACATACATGCATCAGTCTAACGCCTCTATGACTCAGAGATGTCTCCTTAGTTCTGGGTTGCATCTCTCTGGGACCGACTACCTGGTTCTCCTGGCAGGGGCCCTGGCAGTACTCTGTGAGCGTCTCCAGGGTCTGGGTGATCAGGTGGACGTTTGATTCATTGATGTAGAGGCCCAGCAGGCCCAGACCTCCAGTGGTGCTCCCGCACATGATGTCCAGGAATTGAAGTGTCTCACACACCAGGTTGTAGTTGGTCTTGTTGTTCTGGCATCGCAGAAAGTTCTGGAAACACACCAAGGCTCCATTTAATCAGTACACATGCACACCATGTAGGCTGGAACCATTTCCTGTTAAATAGTCAGTGTGGCGACTGTGTGCAGTTTCCTGAAGTCAGGAGGTTGCCAGGTTTGGTACCACAGTGCATGTACACCTGTGCTCACTGACTAAATCTGGCAGCCCACTCTACAGCCGAAGATGCTGCACAGAAGAACTAGGTGGATGGATACACTGTTGTTCATCAAGTCACCTTTTACATGTCAGGGTATGAAATAACATGTTAGTGAGCTTTAGAGGTGATGGCAGGACAGAGTCGGGATAGCTGCTGCCCCCCTCCGCTTCCACTCTTTATGCTAAGCTATGCTAACCACGTCCTGACACAAACCAACCTAAAATTCCTGGTTGTACTGGTGTACACTAACCTGCAGGTCATGGTTGTGATTCTCACAGAGCAGCTGCAGGAACCTCAGGATGGGCTTCATGATCATAACAGCTGGTCCCATCTCTGTCTCCATCTCCTTCTGCTCTGCCACCGGCTGAGCTGGGGGGGCGGAGGCCACAGACTGGCCCTGCACCAGTAATGGGTGACCTCTGGAATCAGGAAGTGCTGATGTGGCCGAGCCACAATCGAAATAAGAGTTTCAGTTTTAATGTCATCACTGCAGCAGGTTGTGATTCAAAACCTCTTCAAATGAGAAATACGGAGCTGAATATTCTCATACCTTAGTCGTAGGAAATTTACAGCTTTGTTGTCACGAAAAATGAAGTTTTTCTTTTATTATTGACTATTTCTTAGGCTTTATCCTTGACGGTGGCCTTACTATGTGTTTACTGTAACAGAACAACGCCAGATGCCTGTGATATGAAAGGATGACGTTAAACAGGCTGTGGGAGCTCTGTGCTGCTTGGGGGTGGGGGTGGGGTCCGCTGGGTGTTTAAGCTCTAGAGCTGTTTAAAGTGCTGAGATGATTATTGTTGTGAGCTGGTGCCATACAATAAAACTGGACTGATGTTGTCACTGACATCTCAGTCCAAACTTGACAAAGGCTATACATTGTTTACTGACTGTTAACTATTTGTTTTTGAGTACAGAAGGTGTAGCTTTCTTAACTTTATCATTTATGCTAATACTAACTTTATAATTTATGCTAATACTATCACTAGCCTCTCTGTGCAGGGATACACTAGGTAGTAAATAAGGTGCTAGAGTTCTTTTATGTTAAAATACAGTATTTTATATATTATAGCAGAGTATAAAGAAAGTTCCCATGAAAAACACCAGTTAATGTGTTTGTACCATGAGCTGAACATGTTTCATCATCGGTGAACTGGTAACACTGGTATCAACAGTGAAGAGGCAACACGGGCCTAGCTGGTTTTCTCTGGAGAAGATGTGTAAATACATTGGAGAGTTCCCTGCCCCCTCTACACACTAAACAGTACAGATTTAAAAGGATCACTTGGACTTTTTGCACATATCGATAGGAGTTACAGATTAATACTTTGAATAGACATAACTTTCCCCCAGCTCCTGTGCCCAGAAGCTAACTGCCACTTGTCAGCTAGCAGAGAGCTCCAAACAATCTGATGAAATAACAAAAAATGAATCTAGTGTTATGGTGATCAAATGTGATTTTAAACGTAGTAAATATTATTCTGGTAAATGTTGGCGCTGCCCTTTTAGACAACTGATATGTTGGACTGCAGCTTTGCCCTGCAGCCCCAGAAATAGACTGTTAGCTGACTGTGGAAAAGGCCTGCTGTAACCAACACAATTAAAAACTTACAGCACCCTGAGTGCAGGCTTGAAACATTAACACCAACAGAACCACACTGAAACTTTATAAGCAGCAGGTTTCTCACCGTTGTCCAGCTCCTTCTCGCTGGCCTGGTGCGTCATCTCTCCAACATTAACAGACACGGTCGCTTTTATGTCGGTCTGAGCTTCTTTCATCCTGTCGTGGAGAACCTTAAAGAACTTCTCAGACTTGTTGTCACCCTTCATCAGTTTATAGAAGGAATTCTGCAGGAGACAGACAGCACAGCTTTCTGGATCTGTTTACCAGCAGTTGATCACAAATCAGTGAAAGGTTCATAAAATAGTGTCACCAGTAATAGTATTAAAAACTATTTTTATATATATATATATATATATAGTTCCTGGGATCTGTTGGAGCCACTCTCCCAGTTTGGGGGTCACAGCCCCCAATGTTCCTATTACCACAGGGACCACTTGTGCCTTCACCTTCCACATCTTTTCTAGCTCTTCTTTCAGCCCTTGGTATTTCTCAAGCTTCTCATGTTCCTTCTTCCTGATGTTGTTATCGCTTGGGATTGGTACATCTATCACTACGGCCTTCTTCCTCTGTTTGTCCACCACTACTATGTACTATTCACTAAGCACGTATATATAATAATATTAAAAACATTTTTAAGACCCTGAAAATGCCCTGAAAAATAAATGTTGGCTGTGGATTTCAAACAGCACCTGGCTCACGCTGACACCGCCGGTTTAGACCGACTGAGTCAGAGGAGGGTGTGCCTAATAAAGTGACGGCTGTGTGTGAGTGTGTGACCTGTATCTCAGTGTTTCCTCCCTCCAGCAGACAGATGGCCAGCTGGATACTCTCCTGGAAGATCTTGTCATTCTTGGTGCTCATCACCAGATCTGTGAACAGTTTTGTTCCTCCTTCTCTGTCCAGACGGCACTGAACCGCCACCACTGCCGCCCAGTCCCGCTCCTGGTCCCCGCCTGACGCACACACAAACACTTCATTCACCAGCTGCATTCACGTGCACGGGATTCAAACATTTTTTCTGTCAAGAGGAAAGAAAACAGCTGCTCCATGAAGTCAGACCACCAGTGACTGTAACCAGCAGTTATCTTCTGTGTGGTCAGTGAACAGGCCCACAGCTGCCGAACACCCCTGATCACCGGTGATGTCACCAGGTGATCCTCACCATCTAATCAGCTGATCTCTGACTTCAGAGTTCATCCTGCCACCACACATCAGCTGCATCTACAACAACATGTGGAGCTGAGCTGCTAACAGACAAAAGGAACCTCCTGCTCTGACGAGACCCCCAGTGCTTCCTCTTCCTGTCTGTGATGTCATTTCTCTTCAGACAGGAAGTGGGCTGATGGACACCTGTGCTGTGTTAGCTGTCAGTTTTTCTCCCTCATTCTCGGTTTTTGTTTGAATTTAGTGTCATCTCTGCTCTGCAGACGAGTGTTTCTGTTTTAGATGCATCACATTTTGTTACAACAAATCTTTAGTTCAAAACTGCAAATGTCTCGTCTGTATTCTTTTTTGTTGGTTTAGTTACATGGAAAAAATTACATTTCAGTAAAAAAAAAAAAATAAAATCACACATGAAACT